GTTTTTAGCCGTAAGCTAAACCTAGAGGTTTACAGTTTGGTCTATAATTCTAGCTTTTCATTTCATTAATTCTTTTGTTAACTTTAACTTTTGTGGTTATAGAGCCTACGCTCCACTTGATCAGACTAATGTCAAATCTGTCAATTCAACACAATGTTCACTCTCACAGACATTGCATGCATCATCAAGAATACATCACTCACATGCATGCATTACACTTTATGCAACAACATGTCTATCATCATTACACTGGGTGGACAATTTACAAGAAAGAAATTTTCAAATCATACCTTCAATTTGCCTGAGAGTTTCCTCCCTATCATGTGGCTCTAAGGTATAATCTTGACCTCCAACTCGAGATCCAACAATTGCGTGTACATTTGAAATCCGATCAGTCCTAGTAGGACATACATTAGCAAAGTGACCCAGTTGGCCACATTTGAAGCACGACTTTGTTTCGTACCAACATGTGCCTCTATGTGTCTTCCCGCATGTGTCACATTTAGACAGGGGGAATTCACTCACAACTGTCTCTCCTTGGTTGCCTTTTCTCTTAAATTTATCATCAGATTGCTTCGCTTGCAATTTCTTCTTTCCATTCTTGTCATCTATTTTCTTATTCTTTTCTAAAGTAGAGTCAGTTGCTCCACTAGCACCTGACGCTTGTGTCCCAGAAGACTTCTTGCTCTTTGCCACATTATAAACTTCTTCTACTTTCCGGCATTGGTTCACAAACTTGCTAAACTCTCGGATATCACAATTAGACATCTTCTGAGACATTTTCTCATTCAGACCCCATTGAAATTTAAAGGTCATCTCGGCCGGAGTAGGTAAGGCTCTCCCATAGTTGGCGTACTTCACCAATTCGTTGAATTTAGCAAAATATTGGTCAATTGACATCGACCTTTCCTTTAGATCATTGTACTCGTTCTGCTTCTGCTCCCTAGCCTCCCTAGGGAAGTAGTTGTCCAAGAATAACGTCTCGAACAATCGCCAGGTGATTTGCCGGCCTTCAGCTTCTAAGGGCTGCACTGTATTGGTCCACCAATCCTTAACTTCCTCTTCCAGCATATACACGGAGTAGACCAACTTCATTGCATCAGGGCATCTCATCACCCTGAAGATCTTCTCCATTGCCTAGAGCCATTTTGCTGCCGCCATTGGTTCATAGCCTCCCTTAAAGGAAGGTGGTTTGTGTTTTCGAAAGGCCGTCAGTCTCCTTTCTTCAGCTTCATGTTCATCAAAATGCTCAACACGTGGTTGACGAACCTCAACATGTTGACTATGACTATCAGAATGGTAACTACCCTCACCCTCATTGTTACCCACTACACCCTCTTCTTGTAAAAGAGGTGGAGAAGGCGTGGCAGTGTGAGGAGGAGGAGTGGGTTGCCGGTATGCAGGTCTGGCACCCCTCAACGTCCTCAACTCGTTCATCATCACGGCTATGGCATTCCGTGAGTCTTCATTTGTCTTCAACAAATTTTCATTGGCTTGCCGGCTAGCAGCTAACTCCCTTTGAACGGCTGCAAGAGTTTCAGCCACGGGATCCGGTTGCCCGCCCGTTGCCACACGGCCACTTCGGAGCCTATCAAGAGCAGCCAAAACAGTGTCTGGCTGAGCATTGGCATTCAATGTTTCAGGGTTATTCCGGTTCCTTGTCATGTCACTACACATGTTACACAAAGAAATGAGTTGATCAGGCTCATACTTAGTGATCACATGCAATAATCATAAAGAGTACCAAAACAACTATAAAGCATTAAACACCAAGCATATACATAACAATAGTCCACAAGTTTCCCTACAAAACTGCTCTGATACCACTTGTAACGCCTGGCAACTTGCAAGGATCAACGACTGTCCCCACACACTAACACAAGACTTTTCAGCGTGCTTTGTCCTCACTCACACACTTCCCGGGAAAACTTCCCAGGAGTTCACCCATCCCAGAATTGCTCCAAGTCAAGCACGCTTAACTATGGAGTTCTTTCGTTCTGGGCTACCGAAAAGTAGATTCATCTTGTTAGTATAGGTAGTACCAATTAATTCTTATAAGCCATTCCTAATTGTACCGTCCCATACCAGCACAGTCGCTGGAATCCCTCTCTTTCGAGTGTTGATTCGATTCATTCATGAACCCCCAAGCTGCAAGATTTGGCATGAGCCGCTCATTGTTCGTGCCCTTTCGCACCAGCGATCACTCCCTGCCTTTGCCAGCTCTTGGGATGTTACATGCCCACCAGCTTCCACCTGATTCTTCCTTGAACCACACCGTACTGGAAGAGAGGCCCTGCTCTGATACCACTAAATGTAACACCCCATTCTAGAACCGAATTGTTATCATTACGTACGGCATTATGCGCAGTTATAATCACAAGATTGAATTAAAACACGGATAACCTTTTTTCCTTTTTATTTATAAAAGCTTTTGTTCAAAATTCATTTCCGTAATTAAATCAATCCCTGTATTGTGATTATAACTCAACTATATGGGGAATTATCATTGTAGGTCCCACTTTAATTGCTTTTAGAAACTAAACGCATCCATTCTTTATTTATTTAAGAAATTCCTATTCTAATTTTATGGCCTCCAATTTCTAATATGTTATAGGATTTTTCATTAGCTACGCGTGGTTTCAAACCGCGCTCAAATCAGAGCACCGTAGCTCAAGTTACGCATTTTCTAAGAAAAGAGTGCAAAATTCCCAAGACCCCCACGCCCATAGCGTGGGCAAACAGAAAGGTTGAAGCTGAGAGCGTGAACCTCACGCTCAGAGCGTGGATGTTCTGCAGCAAACACCCAAAACAGGACAATTTGACCTCTTATGGTATTTACTCATAACTTGAGTTTTACTCATCCAATTTACACAATCTTGATCTCTATGGAAAGCTAAGAAAAAGATCTACAACTTCCATTAGGACACGAGTATCCAAATCTATCATATTGGATACGAAAATTGGACAACAAGATGGTATATCTCTACTTTTACTTGAATTTTCAACCTAGAGGTCTTCTTTCACCTAATTGACAATCATATCATTCTTTCAATGCATGAATTCTAGTCTTTCAAAGTACTCATACACTAGGAGAAGCATGCATACCATTTGATCATACATACATCTTCATTAATTACAACAAGTCTTAATTACAATTCATGGGACTTAGCTACAAAATAACTATGCTCAATCCCTTGGCTCTCAACAACAAAAGAGGTACCAAAAGAGATGAGCATAGGCTAAGTCCATCCAATAAAGCATAATATACATATGACAATTGACTTTCAAATAGAAGTCTTATACATGGTATCTCTACATGTAAGGAATCTCAAAATATCATATGCTAGGTACCATCTACTCACGCTTCTTGCCTCTGTCAACCTCACCTCTAACCGTACCTGAAATGATGCCCCACAACACGGGGTGAGATAAAACTCAATAAACCCAGGGTTCTTGGAGAGCTCCTCCAACCCCAGAGTTCACTTCCTGCATGAAGGGTTAGTATCCACATGGCATGTAATGCATCATATATCCAGAGGCAATAACAGTAATAATTTAATTACAGCATACTCATGCATTCAAATGGCCACAGAATTAAACAATCAAATCATCACACACGCTTCAGTTGCATCTTAGTCCTTTCCACTAAGCATACAACCTAGCCCCTAGTGCTTGTCCATTGACCCTTTCTCCAATGACACAACAATACTATATGAATGCAAACATACCATAATACTAACATTACCACTCAATCATCCATTCATAAACCATCACTTCCACGAAAGCAATGGTGGAACAACAAGAGAGATTAACCTCTAAGATCCAAAGGTTTACCTCTTAATGATTTCCCTCCTTTTGCAAGCTTTCTTGTAGCTCACCTATCCAACAATCCTTCTTGGGATCTCAACTTGGTAATTCCTTCCAATCACCAACACACCCAATCCAAATGAGCTACTCAAGCTCTATGGCTTCCACTAATGGTTGGTCACTCAATGTGGTTCCTCTTGCTTCAATCCTATAAACACAAAGGACACCATCAACACAACCAATCCAAGCCATAGCTCAACAATGCAAGAAACTCGATATTTCAAGCATGAATTTTCCAAGATTTTGAACATAGCTTAAATAACAATCTAAACTTATTTCTACCGTTTATTTAACTTTCCTAGCATTTTTCACAACATACACTAAGTCTCAATCTTCCTAGAACATAGCCAATCTACTCACATTATCATAAAACCCTAAAACACTATTCATCAAAACCTAAATCATGCAAAACCCAAGGAATTTGTGTGAAAGAGAGTGGAAAACTCACCACCATGGATCACACAACAAGGCAAGGTTGCTCCTCAAGCTTCCATGGAGGTAGAAGCCAACAAATCTCTCCACTTTCCAAATGGGTCGAAACTTTGGAGAGAGAAATCCCACAACACACCACTCCCCACTAAGAACCAAGCTAGGATTAAGGATGAGGGGAAGAATCTAAGTGGTTTAGACTTTTGAATCAAGATAAAAGGTTAAGAATGAAGGGAGCTAGGGTTTCCCTCTCCTCCTCTCCTTCTTTCTTTCTTTCTTCTCTTTTCTTTTCTTGTTGTCGACGGGAATGAGAGAGATTTGGGGTTCTTTTATGGCATGGTCACTTAACTTTGGTTAAGTGGAATAAAATGGGTATTGGTTCATCTATCTATTCAACTCCATTAATCACCAAACTTTACCCAAGTGTCTGAAATATTTTTCTAGGAATATTTCCACTCCCATTTTTATATTTTGGCTATTTTTGCCCACACTTATTTATACCACTTAATTTTTACTGAGTACACTTTTTACCTCAAAAGTGACCCTAATTAATTTAATTAGGCCTTTTATTTATTTTAACTCACTAATACATGCCAATTTACTTAATAACATGTTACTGTTTAGTTAGGTTAGGAATATTATAAAGTGTAAGAAAGTTTCTTCTGTTACGTTAAATACAAATTCAAACCCCATTTTCAAATGTCTAGAAACTACAATTAGAGTTAGGTGTTCTTTCTCTGGATCTCATGATTGTCTTTATGGATGAACTGGTCTGAGATCCAAGTTGATTCCTAAGGTCCTCAACCTGTTGGATCGTGAATGGTGTAGCTGCAAAGCACTCCCTTGTCTGGTAAGGTATGATCTAACCTTTTATCAATCAGTGAATGATTGCAATTTTGCTTTGTTCTGCTGTCTTCCTATCTTGTTATTTGAAATTAAAAATTGGAGACCAAAAGTTTAGGTTTATGGAGTCTTGTGCTTTGATCAGTACTTGATTATGGGGTCAAGAATAAACAGGTTTATGGATGAATTACTTCAAAGACGAGAAACACATTATTGATGTGTGTTAAGATACCTGCTCTTGTAGGAAATTGAGTTTTTAGGTATCTTAGCTAACCCCACCTTGAAACTCAGACAGCCTATCCAATTCAACCTAGCTGCTTCTTAGGAATAGAACATATGTATTCTGAATTTTCCTTAATATGTATTAGTCATGCTTGATGTCATATGAGTTTCTTTGTTGATGCATGGCTACTTTTTCTCTGCTTAAGTTATAAATAGTTCGAGGAAACTGATCCGGATGAGTTTCTAATTCTCTATATAATGCCAGCATATTCTGATCTTTTGTCTTGTCCTTTGATTAAAATTCCTTAATTCTGAAATTGTATAAATAACAATATTTTCATTCATAGATGCTAACACTCGTATAATATCCTCACACCAATATGCCTATCATACTACTTTTGACCTCTTGCTAATAGCAGGGCCAGTATACTCACACAATGGTAAATCAGTATCACCCTAATGAAGAAAATTTCCTATAAAAAAGGACTTATAGAATATACATACTTTATCTAACCAGCTAACCATTTGAATTTATATCTAAGATCAACATAAATCGCGATCTGTCTGAATCCCGTTGTTTGGTGGCTTCCCAATCTGGAGACAAGCAATTGGTGGGACTGTTGGAGTTTTTAATTCACCATAGGTCTGCCAGCAGAATGGATCATATAGATGGTATTTTTCTTGAACTGGTTGTAACTGAATAGTGGTTAAAGAAACATCTACACAAGGAAGACTATCACTACAGGCAAAGTGAACTGGTTTAACTGTGTATGTCCCCTTTATCCTTTCATAGTTGATTCCTGCCAGAGCCACAGCTGATGTTTGGTTTGTGCAGCTTCTTTTATCGCAGTAGAATTGGTCAATCACAATTGGGAGTTGAACTTCAGAAACCTGTATATTTGAGAATAGTACTCCTTGTACCGAACCTGATCCACCCTGCAGATATGTTACTTAATTTGTAAGAGATCAAACTTTTCCATCAAGCTCTAATGTTGGAAGTGATTAGAGACCTTGGATTGAATGGGAACTTTGCAGCATTTGATTGAATCATATTTAGCATTGATAACAACATACAAATGTTTAATGAATTGGATTTCAGACTATTAAAAAAAATAAAAAAAATAATTTTTTTTTTTACTGCATCTCAGAATAGTTATTCTGTTAGGAGATTTCTCATTACCTGAAAAATTATGTAGAAAGCAGTTGAGGGATATTAAAATTGGCTTATGTAAAAATTACCAATGTCATTATAATGGCTGATCATTCTTTTCCATAAAAGAAACAAAAGTAATTGTACGATATAATTTTGAAGTCAAATTTGCTGGTTAACTTGTGGAACAGATATTTTGTCTTGTATAACCTTAGGAATCTTTTTAATTATAACTATATTGTATTGCACATATTTTACCTGCCATGTTTTGATTCTGACACCATTCATTGTGTTGTGCATATTGACATCCCTGACAGTAATGTTTGAGACACAGGCTCGGGTGTTATCCTTTCCTAGACCTCCAATACTGATTCCATGCCCTGGTCCACAGTTGACATTGTGTATGTATACGTTTGAGCATCCAGTTTGTATGGAAATACAGTCATCTCCTGCACAACGGTAGAAATTTTAAACAACACATAAGCCAACTTGGACTATTTATGCCTGTTAATCTACATAATGTGTTTTGCTTTTGATTTTTGTCCAGATGCAACCATTTTTGCCCCCAAGTTTTATCTGTTGAGAACTTTGGCTCAGTTTGTAAAGGATCATTGGATATGCTATTTTCTAATAAAGACAAGAATAATGGAAGATATACAAGAAGAATTAAAAGAGTATAGTATACAATTGGATGATTCAGTGTGGATTTTGGGCTTGACACGTGCCATGTAATTATGACTGATTTTTAAAGCATTGGGAGATTGTCTGTTGCTATGTGTCCAACATGTGTGGGGATAGGATAAGATAATGTCTTGCCCCTTTGAGGTTCATATAACATGCATCCAAGCTTTGTTTTTCTCTTTTTTTCTTTTGTTTTCAATTTTTATTTTCACTTTCTTTTTTGTCCCTATCTACAACATTGACTTTTTTATTACTCCATGCTCAAACTTAGCTTATAGCCTCTGTTGTTAAAATAAAATGGAAATGTGCAATAACTTATCTGTAATTAAAATATTACCGCAAGCTAAAGTGCTGCTATAAATCAATACATCTTGGGAGTTCTGAAGGTGAATTCCATCTGTGTTAGGGCTATCACCAGGAGATGATATGGTCACATCATGGACCAGGACTCCATTACAGTTGTCAAACTTGAGGTGACATTGTGGACTATTTTGAATTGTTATGCCTGTAACTGTTGGATAAAAACTCCCATAGAACCGCAGTGCCTGTGCATAAAAAAATTACAATCATTATATTCCAAAATATCCTGAAGATGAATCAAATGGGTTATGTGAAAGGTTTAAAATGGTCCTCACAGTTGGCTTAATGCCTGGCATTTTTCCTCCCAGCTCATTTTGTATCTAGTACAATTGCAAAGGTATAAATGATTAGCCTCAGTGAGCAACAAAGATTGTTATGTAAGGTGCAAAGCTAGAAGGAAAATTACCGGCATTGAAGGCCTTCCTACTGTGTGGTTCAAAGGGACTATGAGTTTTTCCTCATCATCAATAGGATTATCATATGGATGGTCTTGCCACCATGGTGAGCCTCTTCCATCAATGATACCGTTTCCTTGAATGGTAATTTTTACCAGCTTTGTAAAATCCAACCATTGTAATATTCCTCTGCCCCAAGCATTGGGGTTAGTTGGTGCAACAATGGTCCCATCAAGCTGACAAAATACAACTTTATTAGTCTCACTTACTAAGGTAAATATGTATTTTGATAAGATTTAGGGGACATAACTGATTATTATGTAATTTTCTGACTTTGCCAAAAAGGCAGATACATGTTAATGTTACTTTCTCATGTCAAATCATGCTTAGGTTATGAACATGTGGAGATGGGATATATCATGTTATTTAGTTTTGCTTTTTTTCTCAGCTGCTTTCTCTTTCTAGGTGGATGTGTTACCTGGAAAACGATGTTGGGTTTACAGTATGGGCCCGAGAATGAAATAGGCCCCACGTAGAAGACATAATCTGCTGGGATAAGCATTGTTGAAGCCTCTACCTTACAAGCTTCAGCCCATGCTGCTTGGAATGCCTGCATTGCATTTCATTGAATAGCTACTTCAATTACAATACCAACATAAATTAATAAATATATATAGTGCTAACTCATTGTCTTTATATATAGGAATAAGTTATTCTAAGTATCTTTTTTTCATTTATACCTTACCTATCGATCTCTAATATCATTATATCAGAATCTCAAGAAGTTAATTGAGATTCTGATCTAATGATGTTGGAGATTAGTATACAAGGTAGGCATAAAAAAAAAGTATATAATATGTATACCTATTTAAAAGTTTTAACCTGTAAATAATTTTTCTAACTAGGTTAAAAAAATTATTAAGTAATAGGTGAAACTAAGATTACTGATTTTGCAAATTAAGCTTAAACTATATTGAAAAGCCTACCTTTCCTCCCTTAGTTGTAGTATGTAACATATATCTGTGTGCTATAAATTTAAGATTATTATAGGAATCGTGACCTAACTGTCGTAACGAGAATAATTTCTCAAGTAGGTCCCACCCCTTTTGGTTTGTTCCTGGGTCCACCTTTCTGTACTGTTTCACTATTTAGCTTTCCATCTATGGTCATACTCATAGTAAACTTTATTTAATAGCATATTTACTAGGAAATATAAGAATCATGTTGCAGGACACTGTTCATTCCTGCAACAAGGATCCGGCAACGTATCTTGAGGATACGGCGCCGTATCCTGATTTTGGTTTGACTTTTTTTTTTTAAGCGTGGAATCCACACTTGATTTGTGTGTGCAGGAAAATGATCTTGTCATGTGACATGAGAAAAAGCTAACCCTATTTACTAACTCAAGATTGCATCCCAAACAGAAAAGACAGAAGGAAAACAATTCTTTGTACTCATAATGGCTTTTTATTTTACCATCAACTTGTGTAGCTGAACCCAGATCATTACAACTGAGAAAAAAAAGGGTAATACTGAATAATGTAATATTGTGAAAATTATAACCATAAGCAACATAAAATCTTGTCCACTTATACTCACTATCCCTGTAAATTCAATAACTTAATTATGCATTCCAGGGAATTCTAATGGGAACAAAGAATTCTGCGATAAAGTGAAAAATCTTAGTCTTAGTGTTACATGATAACTTGTAAGCAAAATCTACATTAAAACCATTTGCTGAGTTGTACTAAAAAAACAAAAAAAAAACCATTTGCTGATGAGTGTAATGAGGTTCAAAGAGTTTACCTTTGTGTCATCAGTACTTCCATCTCCCTTAGCTCCAAAATCTAGCACATTAAAGGTGGTAGAATGCCCACCATTGTAAGTCGAGGGGGGATCTTCTTTTGGATTAGGAGATGGTGGTGGTTGTGAGGGAGTGCTTTTATGTGATGGAGCCTTTGGTTTTGATCCTCCACCATGGTTATTGTGACCATTGCCATAACTCTTTCCTTTCTTTTTCAACATAGAAGCTGAGACAGCTCTATTGTGCCTCCAATGCTTGCCCCTTCTAGCAATACAAGCTTCAAAATTGGAAGACCAAATAAGAAACACAATGAGAAGCATGTATGTGAAAACCCTGAAGCCACTCATTTTTTAGTAGTTTATGTGGAAATGTAGTAGAATTCAGAAGAGATGCAGAGACAGAGAGAGAGATATAGTTTCTTTGTATTGCTGATAAAACAAACAGACTGTTATGCTTATATATAAGGAAAGCACTTCAAGGCTAATAATAATTGTGTAGGGCTATCACTTAAGTATAAAATATTCTTGATAATGCCAAGCATTTATGATTCATTCTCCTTTCTTCTTTTTGTGTTTTCATTAATTAGTTTGTTTTCCTTTTTGTATGAATTTGCTTAGTGAGTTGTGGGGCTGCAAATTCTCTTGCCACATATCCAAAGTCATTACATGTGACCAAAGCAAGTGACAGTTAGGGGGCTACCATTGTATTTTAACCGTGCCTACATGCCCATCATAATTGCCCTATTGGACGAGGGCAGAGGACAAATCTACGTTTTGTCTTGTGCAACTTTATTTCATTTCTCTGGCTTAGAGTAATATTGAACTTAGAGATATAATAAAATTACTTATGTAATATCTAAATTTTTTTTATCCAATTCAAATTCGAGTATTGTTATATTTATACTAGGGATAGCTCTTCCAATACCATTTCTTTTTTTCAGAACTCAAATTTAAGACTTCTAATCTAATTAAGAGACATTGATTAAGGAGAACAAATTCCTTGCCATTTGTACCAATGGTTGTTGATAACACCTTAAACATTTTAGGAGAGTTGATCAGCGACAAATACTCAAATAGCATTAATATTTCTATGCTTATTCAAATTATAAACAACTTAGAAGTGAAGAGCAACAAAGATTTCTTATAGGGCTGGCAAATTTTCAGTAGCACAGAATGAAACTATGTCATCGGTACTGGAACATGCTTTAAAATACAAGACCTATTAAAGGGAGAAAGGAGTTTGACACTAATATAACCCATTTAGGGACTAACCAAGAAAAAGTTTAGGACAAAAGGTGGACCTTAGATCCCTATACTATATACCCTTCTTCACCATTTTTGTCAATAGTCAGATGTATGCATCACATTTCACCTGTTTGCTTCCTTCATACAAATTGTGCATAAAAATAAAAAATAAAAAATTGACTTTTGTTGGTATTTGGTAATGTAATAAATCAAGATTTGTTGCAAAAGCCATAAAAAAGAAAAAAAGAAAAGAAAGAAAGAAATCCACGTGAGTGGGTCTATAAGGGGTCAAGGGCACACTAATTACAACAGATCTTTCATGATCACATGATACCTTCACGGGCCTAGACTTTTGTCACTTTGTCTTCTTAAGCCATGAGCCACTCCTATATGGTCATAAAGACACTCCTTAGCCTATTTCCTCCAATTTTACTTTTCTATCCCTCTTTTCCTTGTTAAATCAAAAGTGAAAATTTGAGAGAAATAAAAGTTTTAATGAAAAAAAAAATGAAGCAACTTATTGTACTTGCAAGGAAGGATTTGTGAGAAACCCTCCTCGCGCCCACTGATTTGCAACATCTTTTCATGTTTATACTGGACAACATTTTCTGTTCATATGAATAAAAACAAAAGAAAAAGTACATATCATGTTCCTCCTGGACAACATTTCTGTGCATGAGGTTTTCAAATCTATTGAGGCCCCAAAAACAGAGAAAAGTAAAACATTGGAAAGAAAAAAAGTTAGCTGAAATCAAACAAATGAATAAGAAAATTCACTTTCATTATATCATATGTCAAAATCCCAATGTGAGTGTGGGGAATGTATCAGTTTGATGGGTGCCAATACTACTTTCTAGAAACAGATTGAGGGTTAGATTCTGGTAATGATTCTGAAATCTTTTTGTTCTAACTCAACTCAAGGGACCAGACCATACTTTCTTTTATTTCCTATTTTGTCACACCCTCCATGTGTATCTCTTCTGCATAATAAGGTTTCCATGTATAGATACCATGGAGGATGTGACAAGCATGCCATTTTAATTTATAATGAATCACTATTGTGTATGCTTTAGGTGTTCGAAGACAACTCAGGATCAATTTGGATTTAAATTAATCAGTTTGCAACACATATTGCAGAAAAGATATATGTTATGTTATTTTACATATCTTTCACTACATATATAAGAGAAAATTGTGGTTGACTCATAGGTGCTAGAAAGTTTAAGTCTATACAAAATTTATCCCAAAAAGGATGAACTTGTTAATAAATTATAATTTTCATAAACCAATTTGTATTTTCGGGACCAAAACAATAAGAGAAACATCTTTCAAATGTCAAATTATATATTTAAAGGAAGGTTATACTTACAAAGTTACAACTTATTTTCATTTACAACCATATCTTAACCGTTGATTTTCGTCAATCAATGATTTTTATCTTCGCAAATCAAACTAATTAATTAATGGTTTTATAAGAGTTATGTTATAAAAAAAATAATTGTGTAATGTTATAGAGATTCGTTTTGCGTGCCGGTAGTTTTTTTTTTTTCTTTAAAACATGTGGATCCCACAAAATGTTGTGTGTGTAGGAAAGTTTGCGTGATCATGTTAAATGATAAAATGCAAATTCATTAATTAATTATTAATTTGTAATAAATGATAAATATTGATTGGTAAAAATCAATAGTTAAGATATGATTGTAAGAGATTCCATAATACTTATTTTCTTTTGGGGTGACAATGATGGGCACGAGGTGAATTGGACTATCATATGCAATGATCAATCATCAAATATGGATTTCAGTTATTTCCATGTGTTCCGCTTCATTCACTAGAGTTTCTTTCTTCAGTACATGAGGTGCTGGTTGAAGCAAATGTTAACTGCCACCCAAATATTTACATAAGTGCCACTTCTTGAAAGTCACTATTCATTCTCATGCTTATCTGTGACCCTTGACCTTTTCCACAAGTCCCTTTCCCTCCAGATATTTGCTTCCAACAATGATCTTCTGCGTCTTTCTCTCATAACCATTAATCCAATTTTTTCGCCAATCAATGTTGCTTAATCTTGTTATCTCTGTTATTATGATTTATATCATAGCAGCAACAGCTCCCAGTTGAATAATTCACTATTCTAATTGAATAATATGATCCCAAAAAACAAAATAAAACTGAAGCTAGAAATAAAGAATACTTAATTGGGAAATGCATTTGTCATGTTACATGACAAATAAATAATTGTTATTTTAAAAAAAAACACAAGCTATATAATATTAAAGAAAATGAGAGGACACATTATTCAATAAATTGGTCTTATTTTTTTCTTAACATAACAATTATTTATTTGTCATGTCACATAATAACAAATGCATTTCTCTTAGAGGCGTTTGGTGGAGGAGAAATTTTTTTTAACCAGGAATCATGATTTTCAGGAATATGATAGGAAGATGAGTTTTCTAGGAATGTTGTCAAAAAGGTGTTTGGTAGACTAAAATATTCCCGGGAATATTTGGTTAATTTTCTTAATGCTATGTTTAGTTGTATTAAACTTTTTTTTGCTATAGAAATCTTAGAATACCACCCCCTGGATGGTATTTTCAAAAAAATTTACACACAAACAAATCCTGGAAAAATCAGATTTCCAGGAAAATTTTAAAAAACTTATACCAAACGTAGATAAATATGATTACCACTCTTAATTTCCCGGGAATGCTAAAGAATCACTGGCTTAGTTTATTGTAGGAATTTCGCATTCTCAACTACAGTCTTTGACCCATTTGATGTAAAAAAGGAAACTGTTTGTTGGACAAATTCAAAATCCAAGATTTTATCAAAATAATATAAAGATATATATATACAGGATGTGCGTGTTCAAGTCACACATAAAAAAATGCATGTTTGTCATGTGGCGTATTTTTTCCGACGCATTTTGAACGCGCATATTTGATATGCATTTCATTACATTATTTTGATAAAATACAAAATTTTAAATGAATTCAATAAAAAAATTCACATTTTTAAATCACTGAGGTTTAAAGGCCCCAAATTATCCACTCTTATTTTATTTATAGAAGGGAGAGGAAATATTGTGCTTTGTTCAACCATTATATTAATAGATTTTATTTCTCTCATTTTATACAAGAGAAATAAAGTTCTAGCACACACAAAATAAAAGTGGGTTCAATTTTTATTCTTTTTTCTCATTTTATTTATGAGTCTCACTTATAATTTTGCTTCTACTACATAAGATAACTCTTTTTCTATAACATAAGAAAACGATTTTCCTATATTAATTAATGGATAAAGAATTTCTCCAATCAATGGAGATAAATTATCTCCAGTGAGCTCAAAATGACATTATTTTGTGGCAAAAATCAAGGTATTTTTGTAATTTTAATTTATTGCAAGGTTATATTAGTCTTTATCATTATAATTTTTTAATCTTATAATCCAAAACGACGTTGTTTTGAGCTTATGACGACTGGAAAAATATTTTCCCCTTAATTAATATGCAACAATTTCCAATTTTGGTACCTTTTATACCTGTCTGTGACTCTATTTATTTCATTGGTGACAAGTTTTGCTGCTTTCACAAAACATTATCTCCTATTGATTGAAGGGAGGCATGTTATCATGAATTCATATCCTTTAACTAATTTTATATTTTTTACAGCAGAAAAATATTAATTGTTAACTATGTCCAGCATGCACAATTTATTACATGTCTCCGGTCTTCTGAATCTGACCTCATGAAAATCCCACATGTAAACTTATTAATTATGTTCATTATTATAGGTCCCTTTATTATTTATTTCCAATTTGCCTGAGTTTACATTTTTTTTTTTCTCTATCTCGGTGAAAAAATCATAAAATAATTTATAGAGAGAACATGCGAGAAAAAGACAGAGAGAGATAGGAAAAAGGAGTACCACACAATCTTCTTAGCCGTCTTTTTGTGCTCATGTGCTCGTGAACTTTAAAAGTCTTCTCGTGAACTTCATGCACACGAAAATGAGTAGGTTTGCTTCTCATCCATTATTTGTGAATATGTTTTTCACCAACTAAGGGATAATCAATTTCATCCATTTATGTATATTCTTATTCTACCTTCCACCAACCTTCAAAATAGTGACATGCCAACAAATTAATGTAGCTTTTTTTCTTCTTTTTTTTGGTAAATAATTAATGTAGCTTTATATATTTCATTAGATAAATTGCATATAAATTTTCTGTCTCTCATTGCTTTTCCTAACAACAAATTGGTTTGATTATACATCTCTTATTAAGAATATAGTAATATATATTAGACATTATGGAACTCGTTAATGGTAGGGTCACACACTGACATTTTTCTGATCATATTTATTGAAGAAAATTAAAAGGCAACAAATTATTTAGTATTTACATTATAAATATATACATTTACCAACTATCTTTTTGTGTTTGGTGAGTAATCCAAAAGGCCTAATATGACCGCGTGTTGGCGGATATATATATATATATATATATATATATATATATATATATATATATATATATATGAGTTTTATAAGAGTTATGTTATAGAAAAAGTGATTGTGTAATGTTATAGAGATTCGTTTTGAGTGCCGTAATTTCTTTTCTTTCTTTTTTCTTTTTTCTTCAAAAAGTGTGGGCCTCACAAAATGTTGTGTGTGTAGGAAAGTTTGTTGTGTTATGTTAAATGACAAATGCAAACCCCTATATATATATATATATATATATATATATATATATTTATATATATATAGGAAAAAATGTGTGTCATTTTAAAGGATGTAAAATTGTCATTTTAAGAGAGAGAAAAAGATAGATAAAGGAGGAGAGAGAGTTGACTAAAAAAGTAAATGTGTGGATCCCACCTCTTTGTGAGAGTAAAATGATATAAGTTGTGTCACTTAAAAGGATAAACACTTCTCCCACACACACACATATATATATAGGGATATGATCAATTTACACCTGTGTAAGAATAATAAATCTTACACCAAATCTTAACCGTTGATTTTCGTGCATATAACGGTTGAGATTTATTGGAAATTAAAAATTAATTAATGAGTGAGACCTAATAAATCTTAACCGTTAGATGTAAAAAATTAATGGTTAAGATTTGGTGTAAGACTTATTATTCTTACACCGGTGTAAGATGATCCTACCCCATATATATATATATATATATATATATATATATATATTTGGGTTGCTTTAAGATAATTTTGAGAACATTACATGAATGTTTCTATAATTAAAAAAAGAGAAAAAGAAGTATAATGTTGTAAAAAAATGTTTAGGTTATGTTACCGAGATAGAAATTGTGAGACCCACACTTGTTTTCAAAAACCAAAAAAATAAAAAAGTGTGGATCCCACAATCTGTATCTCTATAATGTAATCTAAACACTTTCCTACAACATTATACTTCTATTTCCCTTAAAAAAAAAAAAAAGATGCATTGCATTTCCCTGATTTTCAGTTGCTTGGACCCGCTTAGTTGAAAAGTACATACATAGGAATGTCCATGCATGATATCAAAGAATAAGAAAGCCAAATATGGGAATTAGTTCACTTTAACAACAATTAGATTCCTGATTACCTCAACAATGAATGCAAATGTTTGTAGAAAATGTGCCACAGTGAAGATAGTTCTATTTCTAGCTAGTCATAGCTTTTGGTTCACGGATCTTTCTAGAATTTGAAGATGAATGTGAAACATAACTTTTTTTTATCTGTGTTGAAATTTTTCCATTGGAGATTTCTCATTGTTGCTGCTGCTGATGTTATAGTTTGAGGTGCATGTGAGTTTTCAATTGGAAGAATATCCATTTATACATGTCAATGATCTTCAAATTTTTATTCTTGAATTAATAAAAAAAAACAAAAGTGTTGTTTGTCTCGATCTCTTTGTTTGTATTCCGTGGACCTTGCCCTTACTTGTGTTCATGGTCTACAAAAAGCCATTTTAGCAATATATATTCACGGATTGCTTTGAGCCCCTAAAGCTTTTGCTTCATCAATAATTTCATTGGAAGATATCTCAAAGACCCTTTATCTGTTAATTCATGGCCTATAATGCAGGCACATGACCCTCATCCCACGGCAGAAAATGAGACACATTCACACTCAAACAACAACTTCATTTTGGTTATGATTAGTGTGCACTATGCATATCCATGTGCCCTTTTGGTTTTTGCTATTACAGAATGTTCATTGTGTCATTTATATCACAGCTTCCACAATAAGTAAGATATGATATGAATATGTACTAGATTTATGCAGCAGAAAGGGATGCCGTACGTTTTAAAAGAAGCTGCAAAACAATGAGTTGCTTTAAAAGAAAATAAAAAAAAATAAAAAATTAGTATCATTGTTTAATCAATTTATAGATTCCTTTGAATATTTCATACATATATCATAGATATGACACTTGCCTACCATATCAGTTTAAATTGTTTAATTCATGTTTCTTAATGCAAAGTTCTTTAAAATCATACATGCATGTCAGAAATATAACTCTTGCTGTAATGAGCTGTATATATAAAGCAAGAAAACAGGGGACCATAAGTTTTATTTTAATAGTGACATATTAATAATAACCAAAATTTATAGAAAAAAATAAAATTAAAGCAGGTATTCTTTTTCATTATTTGGTTTTAGGTGGCATTACTAGTCTGAATTCAAGCAAGCTTGTGAGTTTTTGCTTTCCTACTACATGGACAAACCTGTGCTTAGGGGACTAAAGAGGATCATGGTGTATAGAAATTAGGAGAGTAAATTAAAGTGGTCCAAAGCCATAGAAGACTACCCTAAATTAATATTCAGAAAAAAACTGAGAGCCACCTGTTAGATAACTGATACACAAAACTGAACCCTTACATCCACACATGGAATAATGATTTTTTGTCTTTGTAGTCATGTCTATCCAATCTGATCCTAAGTGAAGATGCTAAGATTAAGATTCCATCTAGATTAGCACCTTGTTGAAACCCATGTGGCATGGACCATGGACACTCAGGACTGATCATCCTTTTGCTTTGAATTTCTTACATAGTTATAAGTTGAACTCTTAGCCATAAGACCAATATTTAGTTAGTATCATCATATTGTTTTGATAGATGTGTTGGCTTGTAAGAACCAACTGAAAGAAACAGTTTATTTCAGGATGCTACCAGCTCTAACATTTGGCCTATTTGTATAGCATCAATATACAGACCAATAAAGCTATGCAGCATTAACTACTAAAGAAACCATTTTCTCTTTGTTTTTTTCCCATTTCAATGCAACAAAACAAGATTTTTGCCTTCAATTGGCTAGTCAGTTGGTCCCAATTGATTAAATTGTTCTTTGGACCACATTGTCACTACCTTGCACTAGCAGGCATATAAACTGTTGTGCAAAAATTCATATGTTTGTCGCTTGGAAACTGAATAAGAACATTATTAATTGATGTAGTGATCATACATACATCTTATTTATTCATTTTTGTTGTCATTAAGTAATAAATTTAAGGCTAAGTATGGACTGGGCTAGGGTATCATCTCACTGGTCCCAGCTTGTCTGCATCTGTAACTGATAGCCTATACCAATCATACCCGCTCAAACTTCAATTGAAGAAAAACCCAAAACAAAATTAATTATGAAATAATAAAAATAAAAGAAACTAGTTTTTGCATCTTTCCCCAGTGTTCTATAATTGGACCTAGTACTAGATAGACCCAACTTAGTCCAATCCAATTTTATGAACCTAGAGGGGTGAATGTTGTTGGAAATGAAATTCAAGTATGAGATGGAAGTCCCGCATTTGTTAGAAATAGACTAAGTGAGGATTATATAAATAGAAATATCCATAAACTCTATCCATTAAGATTTTTGGTATAGACGTGGTGTCAGGTCACTTATTATTTGAGAAACGATAAATAAGCATAAAAGATTATCAACAAAATCAATCCAGTACCTTTTAATAATGAGTAGTTACGCAAATTTAAACACGACTCCATCAAACATAACCAAGCAAACATAAAGCTAATTTTTAAATAAAATCTCAATCAATATAATAAAATTTATGTGTGTCTTTTCTTTCTTCAATGCTGCTGGAATCAGCCACTGCTATCTATTTTCTGGAATAAATTTCAGTGTATTTTCTAATTATTTAATAAACAAGACATCCCTTGATTAGTCTCTTACCTCACCTCAAACCTCCTCCAACATACCATTGCAACTGCTACATCCGGTTCATTTACCCCATTTGATAATAAATTATAACCAAAGGGTTATTGTATAATGCATCTATAGAGAGCTATAACTTATAGTTCAGTGTGAAGAATATCCTCAGCAAATGATTCTGCAACTTGAGAAACTTTATCATTGGAATTAAGGCAATCAGCAGAAGGATGCACCACCCCATAACCAAAGCCTTGGGCTGAGTGACAGTATGTTTCTACCGTGCCATCATGTTTCTCTAAGTCCACATTGCTAAGGACTAAGTTGCTGCATGGAACGCTGTCACTGCAATCAAATTTAATGGCCTTTGCACTCATGGTAGTCCCACTGATGTTCTGGTACATGATCTCGCTTATCTCCACAGCTGAAGACTGATAAAACCATATATAGAAGAGTTCATAAGAGTATTGTTAGAAGGGGTTGCTCTATGCTACCCCAAACAACTTAGAATTAAGTTACATGATAATATTTTAAATAGAATAAAGCACTAAAGATCCATGGCACTTAATTCATTAAATTTTTAAAATTATGTATTAGTGTGAAGTCTTTGCAATAAAGTACTCTGTAATTATCATAGTAGTTGGTTCCCTAGTTAATGTTTTCATAATTAGGAGAGGTGGTAGAAAATGTAAAGCATAATCTAATACAAAGAATCGGTTCTTATTTAATCCTCTCTGTATTTTCATTTTATTTTTCTATCATAATGAAAATATCTTATACCAACCACAATATTCTTATTGCACAAATTTGCAATTCTCTCTAACAAGCATAAAATGTTTTAAATTTTAAACAAATGTTTAAAGTCCAGAGTGTTTTAAAATAAGCGCATTAGTATTTCTAATTAACTTTATTTTATAAAATCACTAGGTGCTTTTGAGTTATTCTGGAGTTAGAAATAGATATGTATCCCTTACCTCGTTATATGGGTGCTCAAATTTGCAGTGGTATGAACCAAATCTCAGGTTAGGTAAAGTTACAGTGACTTTAGAACTCAGCAGAGTAACAACTCATAAAAATATTGAATACAAAATGCTTCTTCAAATAGAGAAGAGAGGTATTTATAGGTGATAAATATTCCTTAATAATCAGAGGTGAGTCATAACCGTTTGTCCAATGCCTCACTACTTGGTGATGACATGCACCACTACATGTACTACAGTGAACTATGCAAGAGAGTGAGGAATACTCTAACGGCGTGTTTGGTAGAGGAAAAAATTTTTTACTAGAAAAATATAATTACTAGGGATATGGTGAGAAAATAAGTTTGGTAGAAAAATTAAAAAAAAGTTGTTAGGTTGGCAAAAAATTTACCGAAAAAATTGGGTAGAATTTTATAAGTCTATGTTTGGTTGAAGGTAAAATATTGATGGGGAAATGAGGCAAGATTACCAAATTAACCCCTTTTTAATTTTTGAATGTTTACATCTCTCCTCCAAATTTACTCTCCTCCAAATTATAGGAGGGTATTTTTGTCATGCTTTTGTTTCCCACTTCTCCATTTAGCCATGCATCTTGCAATACCATCTCCAAAGTGGTATTTTGGCATAGTGCATAAACAATTCTAAAAGTCTGCAAGTTGGTTTGCTACCAATATTCTTAAAAAACTTGAACCAAACATGTATCACACAAAATTCTAATATATAATACCTAGGCATCCTCTAAAAAAACTTGAACCAAACACCTCGTAAGATGAGGTCCATTTGTTCATTATGAAAAGACAGGAATTTGATCCCCTTAATGGGCCCTTGCGAGCCATCCCATATATATTGGGCTGTGAAGATTGTTCTAGAACATATATCAAATTGATCTTGGTCATAATGTGTTTTTAATGAATTTTGAAACTCTCTACGAAGTCTGCACATACAAAATTTAGTTAGTCAACCATATCATGTTTCTTGATTCTTATTTATGATCATTTTATTTTACTATGTAAGGGTACAATGTAACTTAATATGAGGAGAGTGTTCCGCATTAAGTTAAGTAAATCTTCACTCACTTATTTTTAATTTTAGTAAAAGGATATGTATTACATGGTATTAAAATTTTCCTCTTGGATATATTATACGGATCACATTATTAATTAAAAAATCATTGTTACAATTAATTAATTATTAGTGATAAAATAATAATATAATTAACCTAATATATCTAATTCAAATGCACTAAATTTATGCAACCGTGATAATGTGGGAAGAAGAGAGAGGGAACTGTGGAGTGTGGAGAGTGTACCTGGTTTTGACAAGTAGTTGGCGAATCACAGTAAAATTGATCAATAATAATGGGATTTGAAACGTTTTCGACCCTCACATTCTGAAAGCGTACCCCACGAACATATCCAGAACCTCCCTATATATGCCATCAAAACAAAATAAACCATATTTAGTCATTCTCAAAACATCATTTTTCACAATTTTGAAATGTAAGTTTTCTAGAATTACAAAATCTCCAATGCAGAGAAACTTTGCATACTACCTTTTTTTAATATAAATTTGCATACTACGTTTAGAGTGAGGATATTTTAACTACTAAAAATTCTTACTACTAAGTTATTACTCATCACATCACCATTGGATCAAAGAGAGAATGTTAAAAAGTTTTTGAAGAGAGAAAAAATATTAATCTAATGATGATTAGACAGGTAGTAAGTTGATAGTGAAAATTTTTTGATACTGAGAATATCTCTCCTCCTACGTTTATGCTAAAAAACATGCATGGTAACATGTATTACGCAATTTTTTTTTAATTTTTTTAGATTTAGGCAATTGTTTTGTTTTCGGAGTAAGTGTGAAACTCTTTTGATAAATCTATATACAATTATTTGTAGCGAATGGCTCTGCCAATGCAAGGTTATGTGACATTGATTACACCATTATGTTATAATACGTTAATTTTGAATTTTAACAGACAAAGTAATTCATAGACTCATATTGAAAGAGATGAAAAAAATCAACAATAAATGGAATTCGAATTTATTTTAAAGAAAAAAATAATATTCAAGAATTTTTTTATTACTTATATTAAGTGAAAATAATTATGACTCAAACTTTAACTAATTGTTGTTTTTCTATTCAAAATTAGCAATCATAATTATAATAAATACAAAATAACTATAGTAGATGATTGATTCAGTATTATATAAAATAAGAGAAACAAATACATAATAAGTATAATAGGGATTTGAATTAATTATTTAAAATTTTAAAAATGAGAGTAATTAATTAATTAATTAATTTTTTTTTTTGATAACAGTAATTAATTTATTTTTTATAAACCAAGAGATATTTTATCAATTAAATCAGCTATGAGTGATATTTAAATTGAATTTAAACTTTTTTTTGAAAAAACTAATATATAAGTGAGAGTAAAATGTACATATATATATATATATATATATATATATATATATATATATATATATATGGTAAAATCATTTCTGCAGCCGTTGTACGTACAACAACGACAGGTGTATGGTTATGATTTCTCACATTTAATGCTTTCAACCTTTGTATGGTTATGATTGTCCGCATTTAATGCTTTCAAGTATGTATATAACAAATATTTGGTTGATGCACGTACAACAACAGCAAAAATGTAAATATATATATATATATATATTTATATAAGGAAAAGTGTGTATCATTTTAAAGGATGTAAAGTTGTGTTATTTTAACTGAGAGAAAGAGATAGATAAAGAAGGAGAGAGAGTTGACAAAAAAATATAAAAGTGTGGGTCTCACCTTTTTGTAAGAATAAAATGACATAAACTGTGTCATTTAAAATGATAAATGTTTTTTTCCATATATATATATATATATGCGCTCGCATTTAATTTTTTAAAAATTATTATTTTATTTCTTTTTGCTATCTTTTTTTACAAATTATCTTTTTGCTATCTTTGGGTGGAGAGCATCTTCAGTATTACTATTGTATGGTAGTTCAGAACGAAATTACAAACTATTAAAGGTTCTTTTTCTTTCTTCTTTTCAAAAAATATTTGTGTCATCCTCCGATTGATGGGTTGTACATAGCATAGTATATATTAAATTTTTGAGAATGGCTATATTGACAAATAAAAAAATTATAAATTCTTACAACTAATACTATATACATACATACCAACACAAAATGCATTATCCATATTACATAATATAATTTGTAAGTTTGCAGAAAAAAAAATTCTCGATATAACTTTCTCGTATATTTTTTGCTTTTGGGTGAAATATTTGGCTAATAGTTTTATCAAGATTCGAGAATAGTACCTGCCAAGTCTTAATCCTGACACCATTGGTAGTCTCCCTAAGAATTGCTGTATCCAAAATCACTTTCGTGACTACGCCAGTTGAGTTGTCTTTCCCAAGGCTTCCAATGCTGAAAATGGTAGTCTTTCAAAAAGGCTAAAACTACTTTACTCGAAACAAAAAAAAAGGGTATTCCAGAAAAAAAATATAGAATCATAGATACAATTTTTTTATAATTTTATTATAACTTTGAGTTAGTTATCTACGAAAGAAATAGGGATTTTAGTTTGTCCTCACCAGAAAAACTTTCCTACACACACAATATTTTATGAGACTTATATTTTTTTAAGCAAAAAAAACAAACAAATTTCTATAACATTACACAATCACTTTTCCTACAACATAACTATTATAAAAGAAAATGGATGTATCATGTTGTAGGAAATTGGTTGTGTCATGTTATAGACACAATCAATATGGACCCCACCATTTTTAAAATAAAAGAAAGTGGTGAGGTCTACATTGGTTATGTCTATAGCATGACACAACCAATTTCCTAGAACATATATATCTATTTCCCTATTATAAAACACAAAGAAATAAACCATTGAAACATTCATTACGTCATTACGTGTAGTTCCAGTAACTAACACTTCTACTACGTAATGGGTAGGAACCGTGGCATCATTTTCTTTTGGCTAGTCAAGATATCAATTAACTTGTTCAAGTGACACAATTCCAAAAATTTATAGTTTGATAAAATTTTGAATAAATACTCTTTTTGATCCTCGGCAAATTTCACGATACCTACTTTAGTCCCTAGCAAATAAAAAAGCTCATCGTGGTCCCTAAAATATTTCAAAACGGACTCATTTTAGTCCTTTTGAGAGACTAATATGGGTCTTTTTTAAATTTACGAGGGATCACGATTTCAACTAAATAGATCCATTTTAAATTTCTTAAGGACCACGATGGGCCTTTTTATTTGCTAGGGACTAAAGCGGACATCATGAAATTTGCTGAGGACTAAATATGGTATTTACTATAAAACTTTTAGACGCAAAATTTTCATAAATAATGAAATGAGTGGCTAAATTTTTTTGGGACGTGTAAAATGATAGATGACAAATTTTTATGCATTCATTTGAGGTCTTTTACCATTCTGTTTCAGAAAAGATTTCTGCAACCATAAGCACTCTAATTATTAATGTAAAAAAAAAAAAAAGTGACGTATAACTTGAATTAAATGGAAGCATGAAGATCAGCTGATACCTGATTCCATGTCCTGGTCCACAATAAATTCTCTTCATTTTGATATTAGAGCTAGCATTGACAATTGATATGCAATCATCCCCTGATACACAAAATTATCATGAAATAGCAAAACACAACAAATGTTCAATATCCTTTCCTTTTAATCTCTATTTCTGGAACACTCATTTGTAGAATTTAAGATAAAGATCTTTTGACTCAGATATAAGAAAAAGAAATCTTACTTTCCATTTCAATCGTTGATTTATGTGCTTTTGACAGTTGTAATTTATCTGATTTTTATACATTAATTAATTACTAATTTATAATAAATTTCAACCATCGTATGTATGGAAATCAACCGCGAAAATGAGAAGTAAGACTTTTTATTCTTACACCGCAGTCAAAATATCCTTCCCAGAATTTATCATCAACTTTTTGTGTTTAAATTCCTTTTCCAAGTTAGCTATTCTATGTCTCTTTGTTTCAAAATCTGCCAAGGTAGTGTTCAGCAAAAAGAAACAACAATGTTAAAGTTCAGAACCTGTGCCAATTTTGCAGTCTTGAACTGCAACATTTGTTGATTCACTAATATGAATTCCGTCAGTGTTTGGGCTGTCTCCAGGTGCTGACACTTTTATGCCGTAAATTCGAACAGAATCCGATCGTGATATGGTAAAATGAATCTGTTGGCTATTCTGGATAGTTAGTCCTTTCACCTTTATAGCTGAGCTTGAATCAATGGTTAATGCCTGCAATGAACTCTCAAAAGTTAAACTATATTAATAACACATCTTGCAAAACCTTCTACTTGAAATATAGAAAAATTCAACAGTGGTTAAGAAAGTGGTTCTTACTGTTGGGGCACCTCTGCAAGGCTGTGAAAAATAATAGGAGGAAAAAATCAGAATGTTATTTGCCTGCAGCTTTAGTTTTTATGAACTTTGCAAAATAACAAAAGACTAAGTTCTGAAAAATTACATTTGACTTGTTCTTTTTACATGATGCAGCCCACCATTTGCTTCCTGAGCCATCTATTACTCCAGAACCTTGGAAAACAGCTTTGTTCAATTTGGAAAAATCAAGCCATACCCGTTGAAGTTTTGGATCCCAGTTCTTAGGCTCATTCGGTGCAACCAATGTTCCATCAATCTGGGAAATTCAAAGTACTATGTCAATTATCATATGAGTCGAATAAAACTTAAACTATTAGAAAGGGAAAATCCCGGTGCATAAGGCTCCCCAACTTTTAAGGATAAGATTGAGGGTCAGTTGTATGGTGTTACCTGGATGATTAGCTTGTCAGCACAAGGCCCTATGAATTTTGTTGCATTAACTAGGTAACGGCGTCCTTGGGGAACTAAGAGAACAGATCGTGGTGTAGAGCAAGCAACGTCCCATGCTTTTTGAAATGCCTGATAAACACACCAGCAGAATGGAGAATGGACAAAACATTATCACAGAGTAGTTAATCTGGTCATTCAATGATGCCTGACTCGATTGATTAGTACAGAAAAAAACAGTTTCTTCATGTTCAACATTGTCCATTTTGTGAAGTGTATGTTGATCAAAACAATGGACTACAAACAATGACATGTATTTGCAAGTCCAGGTATATCTCAAGAACTTACCACAGTATCATCATATTCTCCATTTCCAGCAGCACCAAAGCTATCAACATTCACAAGAACTTTTCCACCGCGCTCGCTTCTCCATGAAGGGATGTCAGAAAGTTCTACCTCAGTTTCTTCTTCTATGTCCAGGCTTTCAAGTTCTTCAAGCATGCCAATCTTGTCACACATCAGGCTTCCTGCAACTCCACAAGCTGCTATCAGCAAACCGAGTAAGGAAACCAAGAAGAATTTGTCCATATTTTGCTCCTGTTGGCTGTATTGGAAGGATTAGTTGATTTGATTAATGGGAATGAATACTTTGGTTATAATTTATATGCATAGATTAGCTATGGAAAATGAAGGATTTGAAGGGCTTTATGGCTTGGCTTGAAAGTGGATGAATGTGTTACATTTTCTACATGCCAAGACTTAAAGTACAAGGAAATTTTTTTTTAGTACTTTGCTTTACTCATCAACCAATTACAAAACTCACAAGTAATAGTAACCGTTGCACTATCTCCACTTTGCCACCCTGAAAGAGAAGTGAATGACATATCATTGAAGAGTCTTATTGCATATTCCAATCTATCTCAAAGTGCATAAGTATATTGACATAATACAATGTGATTCATAAAAGGAGAGAAAAAATTATTTTTCTATTTCAAGAAAGCCGTCAGTTAGTTACACCAAACAAGGGAACACATATGCCGACCCTCCTTTTCTTGGCATGCCCACCAAAAACTCCTCACAAAAGAAACCCTTCCCTTAGATTGTAGGATAGCCCCAAAATAGACAAGACCTTACCATCTCAGGCAACATCTTCACCAGCAGAGCAAAATGTGCTATGATTGTTTTATCTTGTGTGAATAATAGGCAAGATGCTTCCACAATTTAGGAACTTTATTTTTGGCAGTCACTTTCTTATCTCAATTGAACTACAACCAATCTCCCTTGTCATCTTCCTTGCTAGAGAAACCTCTCTGATTTGCCTTGATGCATCAAATTTCTCTATCTCAGCATAAAAGTTTGAAGCTTGCAACCACACTGCAGGGTCATCTGGGTCTAGCTCAACTAACACTTGTGCTGCTCTTGTTCCAACCTCTTCATTCTTGTGGACCCTGCAACTTCGCAGCAAAGAGCTCCACATAAAACAATCTCTTTTTCCTGGCGCCTGTAGCAGCAACTCTTCAGCTTCATGTAGAAGTCCAGCACGGCATAAAAGATCCACCATGCACGAAAAGTGCAGGCGATCTGGGTGAACCCCATGAAGAGATCTCATCGAATCAAAGACTATTCTTCCTTCCTCAACTAGCCCCGTGTGATTACATCCCGTTAATGCACACAAGAAGGTAACTTTATCTGGTTTTATGCCCTTCTCAATCATAGCTTGAAGCACTGCAAGTCCTTCTTTCCCCATTCCATTTCGGGCATATCCATTGATCATAGATGTGAAGCACATAGCATTTGGAGAAGGAAGGCTCTCAAAAATCTGATGAGAAAGTTCCACATGCCCACATCTTGAATAAGCATCCATAAGGGAACAAGAAACTGCAGCATCGCTTTCAAGTCCAGATTTAAATGCAAAACAATGCAGTAATTGGGAGCTCGTGAAGCTTGATGAAACAGACACTGACAATGCCTTAAGTGTGGTGGAGAAGGTTACTTCATCTGGCATAAGACCTTCATCGACCATTAAACCAAACAATTCCACCACATCTTCAATGGCACCACGATGAGACAAAGAGGTCATCAATGAGTTGCAACACTCCAAAGTTCTCTTGGGAAGGCATTCAAATACAGCTACGGAGCTCTCAATCTCCCTGCATTTTCCATACATATCAATCAAAGCAGATTGAACGTGCACACTCCCTTCATCAAAACCCAATTTTAGAACATGACTGTGAATCTGCTTCCCCAAATGAATGTCTTCAGTTCTACTGCACAAATTCAAGAAACCCACCAATGAACGAACGGATGGCCTCTGCCCCCACACTTGCATAACAGTAAATAACTCCAAAGCATCACACAACACGTTGTTGTCCGCATAAACAGCAACCAACGAGTTCCATGAAATAACATCCTCTACTGGTATGGCTTCAAAAGACTTCCTTGCACCAACCAAGCACCCACATGCAGAGTAAAAATCCACCAAAGCATTGGCAACAAAAACGTTTGATTCCACCAAACCCATCTTCAAAATGCAGCTTTGAAGTTTCTTCCCTTCAAGCAACCGTCTTTGGTTACTACACCCCCTAAGCAAATAACAAAACGTAACCCCATTTGGCACCACACCTTCAAAACCCATCCGAGAGTAAAATCCAAGCAATTCTTCCACACAACCCAGTTCACATAACCCACGTAGCATCACATTCCACACAGCCAAATTTCGTTCCGGCAACTCATCAAACAATTCCAGTGCCACCCCACTTAGTCCCACGTGCATGTAAAAATCAACAAGTGCACCACCAACGAACACGTTCCATAAAAATCCAAACTTGACCACCCTGCAATGCACCTGAGCACCTTCTCTACAAAACCCAGCATTGGTGCAAACAGCTATAACAGAGGAGAACGTGGTTGATGTTTCTCTTATTCTAAGAAAACCCATTTCGACATAGAGATGAAGAGCCATCTCCGGTAGCCTAAAGCACCCTGAAATTATCAAGTTATATGTGACAGTGTCACGCAGTGCCATGTTGTGGAACACTGCAAGTGCAGAGTTCAGGTTCCTAGATTTTATGAAAGCATCGATTTCGCGGTTTTTCACGTAGACATAGTCACTGGCATTGCGAAAGGAAGCCAACGTGTTTGAGTGCATTAGCATTGATCTACCAATTGTTATGGCTCTTATGAAGGACACTAGTTGAGGCTTTTGAATCGACCACCACAGTTTCAGCATTTTTTAAGTTCGAATTTAGACACATTAATATGAGTCTCTCACAATCTGTACTTTGCAATTGTTTGGTTAAGGTTGCTTTGGTCTATATATTGTTGATTTCATAGTAAATATTTAAATTTATTAAATATAATTAAGAGTTAATAATATGTTCTGCAGTTCATCAGTATTTTAAAAAAAATGACTACCAAAGTAATTCCCATTTCTCTTTGGATGAAATTTTGAAGTGTTAAGCTAAGACAAAACGACAAATGCGTGAATTAAGTCACCTAATTAGTAAATAATTAGCTATATAACTTAATTAATCACATATTACTAATATTTATACTTGTCAAAAAAATCTCCAATTATCACTTGCAAAGTTTCCAAAGTAGATGTTGTCAAAATCAAGTTTCTACCTAAAAAAGATAAAGGAGATAGTAGAAACGACTCCAAACGTAAAATTTCTATTACTTTAGGTCAAGATACAAAATTATATATATATATATATATATATATATATATACATATATATATATATATATATATATATATATGGGCTTAACATTTCTGCAGCCGCCGTAAATAACACTCTTTACAGCTGACACAGAAAAGTGGGCCCCTCGGCGTTTAAAAAAAAAAAAAAACAAGGATCCGCTGTCGTATCCTAGAATCCGCACACGGATCCTGGCTAGCTGTAGGTACAACAGCTGCAGAAATCATTTTGCCTATATATATATATATATATATATATGTTTATATTTTTGCCGCTGTTGTACGTGTAACAATCAAATACTTGTCATATATATACTTGAAAGCATTAAATGCGGGGAATCATAACCATAACCATACAAATGATGAATGCATTAAATGTGGGGAATTATAACCATACACATGTCATTGTTGTACGTAAAGCGGCTGCAGAAATGATTTTACCGTATATATATATATATAGAGGCAGGATATTCTTACACCAGACTTCCTTTATCCCACCCAAAACGACGTGTTTTTAGCTGACAGTACGAAACATTATAGACAGTGATAGTACAAATAATAAATCAAATATATATATATGGGACAGGATCCGTTTACAAACTTTTTTGAATTTTTTTACAAATTACACTATGTTCTCCCGGGAGAACATAGTGTAGTTTGTAAAAGTTTGTGTTCTCCCTGGAGAATATAGTGTAGTTTGTAAACAAAAAAGTTTGTAAATATAACCTGTCCATATATATATATATATATATATATATATATATATATATATATATATATATATATATATATATATATATATATATATATATATATATATAAGTCTAACACCGCATCTCAACTGTTGATTTTCATGCATCTAACGGTTATAATTTAGGAAGTCATACGAATTAATTAATATTAATTAATAATTAATTACTCTACAAATACCAACCAATAATTTCTATCCAACAACGATTGAGATATGGTGTAAAACTTATTAGTCTTTCACCAATAAACGGTTATAATTTCCGCCAATCAAACCTATTAATTAAAATCTGGTGTCAAATTTCAAAGTTTGACACTGGTATCAAAAGGATATTGCCCTGTATATAAGATAGAAGTCCAAAAACACAAAAAGAGTTTAACATCTCCTATAACAAAGTTTCAAAACATCGAAACAATAAAATTTAACAACTTCTAAAAACGTAAAAACTTGCATTTCTATCATTTTTACATTTTTACGTGGTATTTTTATCCCTTTTTATTTTTAGTTATGTTTTTACACGTATCATCTCAATTTTCTATGTTTATAGTCTACAAAGCACAGACACGGCAAATTTTTTGAATAATGTGTGTCGGACACGTGTCCGACACGGACACGCTCCGACACGCGGTCAATATTTTGGGACACGTGGTCAACTCTCCAACACGTTTTTTCGATACGCAGTCAATTTTTTTCGACACGTGGTGAACGCTCGGACACGTTTTTTTTTTTTAGTCTTAATTTTATTTTATTAACTAAAAATAAAAAAAATTTATTTATAAATCAATTTTTTTCTGTTATGAAATTTGACATGAAAAATTAACAAGGTACGAAAAATTATTTTAGTTTATATTTATGTTACGAAATTTGAATATTTGATTGGTTATTTCACTTATTATGGACTGTTATATCTATTAAATATAAATTATATTATATATATTAAAAATATTATTTAATATCAAAATATGCCCCAACGTGTCGAAATATGTCATTTTTTAGAATTAACGTGTCAGCGTGTCATGTCGTGTCTCGTGTCAGTGTCCGTGCATCATAATTTATAGTCGCATTTTTTACAACAGTGACTTAGAAACCATAACATTTAAATAAGCTTCAATACATTACACCACAAAAGCTGATCATCCTTTACCAACCATGCTTAGAAGATAATCCCCACATAGCACTTTACCACCAACCAATGCCTTTTCAAGACATTCCAATTTCAAAGGGTAACCAACTTATCCCCCTTCCTTCCACTTGAATATAGACCATCTGAAACATGAAATCAAATTAAATCACCTGGATTCTTTTCTATCCTTCCAATTATTAATAATGACAACTTCGGCAAAAATAAAAAAATCCAAATAAGAAAAAAAAATATTGTAATCTAAAAGGACAACGAAGGGGACAACAGATTTGAATTCCCTGTATATACATTACAAAACATAGAAATATCACCATTCCCATTGCAGGGTGAAACTTTCATTGTTTAAAACTTTATTGAACTATATTCTGGTTTGAAACTTAATTACATAGCATTTAAAATATTAACATAAAACACCCAAAAATTAACAATGACAAATATTTTGAGCACTTACCACCCAATTTATGCTGAGTTTAAGACATGTCCACGCATTATACATCAATGACTTACCATGAATGGTAAAGACAATTGTATCTCTCATCTTACCTCCACCCAAAAAAAAAAAAAAAGGAACAATTTTATTGCTCATTCATAGATTGTTTTACAATTATATTGCTATTGAGACAGATGATTTACGTGCACAACCAGATGACAAGTGGAAATGGCAGTCCTTATTGTTGAGATAGATAAAACCATTAATGTAGCCTCACCCAACAGTTTAAGCTTTTGGGTTGAATTGGTTCTTTACATGGTTCTTTACATGAATTAGTCCTTATAAACATTTCAATCAATTGCATTAACATGCAGAAGCAATAGCCTCCAAAAGAGAGGCTGTGAACCGCATCTGGGTTTCTTCATCAATTCTTGAAAACAAGGGAACATGGACAAATAGAGACTTGTTACCCTTCTGTTCTGAAAATCGGAGGGAGTGGTAATACACATAATTGCAAACAAAGCGTCCTGCATCATCTGATATCATCACATCATAAGCTCCCTTCTTCAAGGATTTCAAGATTGCATCAAGGGAGAAAGAAGTCTTCAACAAACAATTAATAAGAAGTTAGCAAAAAGTAAAACAGAAAATAAGAAAGACATAGCAGATGCTAACTGCTTCAAATTGCAAATTCTTAGCATAGCTACAATAACATGCAAGAATGAGAGACAACAACATTCCCCCCTGAATCAGTTTGTGAATAAGAAACTGTCGCGGATCTAGAAAATTTTATTTATGTCTTGCCCCCTAAATTTGTTTTTAAAGGATGTTTGTATCCGCACTTGTGTTCACTTGCGCAGCAGTAGGTCTGCCACTATTGATGTATCATAAAACGTCAACAAAGAAAAAAAACACGGGAAAAAGTCAAGAGAAAGCCATTGCCACCAGCCACAGTGCACCGACAAGAGATCTCAGGTTCAACACGGTATTGCCCTGTGTTAACCATGCCATATTCAGGACTTCAAAAAAGTATGTCCGCCAGAGTACCAAACGTTCCCATGTGATTTTCTAGTTTTTTGAAGTCCACCAGTATACCAAAGGTCCGCCAGTGTACAAAACGTAAACAAAACTTGGCATTTTATTTTTTTTTTTCAAAAGTTTGTCTGCAGACACTTGCCCACAAGTAGGTCCGCCTGTGGATCAATGTATTCTTTTGCCAGTTGATTTTGGTTGAAGGTATTTTTCCATCAATATTGACCATTCAAATCATTCATGAATTCCAGAACTATGGGACTATAACCACAAAAGCAATCAAATACAAGTCCCAGGCATTTTGGATTTTGCAACATAAATTATGTGCTATACACACTATTTAAAGTGAAAAAAGCCAATATAAAAGTGATCAGTGTTTGTCTTCCATTTATTCATTTTTTGTTTCTATGTTTTTACTCTTTAGGATAATATGGAGGAGGACTGAGGAAAGATTTTCCTTCAACGGATTAGAACAACTTCGAGAAAAAGTACAACCTTTCTTCGGTTGTGACCACTTACGAATATGGCAAGATCTAATAAGTCAGTAGTATTACAAAACAAAATGAGCAATTAAAGTTTGTGCAAAAGCATGGATGAATAACAACATAAACTTATAATTTTCTTTAAAAGAACTTGTCCAATAAAGTCCAATCCAACATGTTATGTATCACAACAAACAATTTTACAAGTTATTACAATTTACCTCTCTTGTTCGAGAAATTCCTCCATCCTCAGAAATTATTGGGACTTGCTGAGAAAGAAAATTGAAAAACAAGAAAGAAAAATTTAGGTCACTCAAAACATACAAGTACTCTTCAAAACATAAAGAAAAACCTTGTAGCTTTACAATTTCATCTAGAAAAGAGAAAAAAAAAAGGACGATAATGACTCACCTGTGGTTGCCATCCTAACTCATCTGGACACCGGAAAGTGGCTTCATTTGCTGCCTGCCGCTCAATTGCAAACCTTTGAGCCCCACTATTCACCCCCAAGTGAAGCTGAAGCATAAAATCAGAAGTTCTATTATCAAAACAATCGAGGACATACAAGACTGTATCATAAACATGCATTTCTCCTCAGCAGTATCTAATTTTTTTTTTGGTAAAATCCTTAACAGTATCTTTATTCAAGTATCTACTGAAATTTGGTTTCCCACTGACCAAAAAAATGATCTCATCAACTAGGGTCATACACTTTCACTATAATAACTAGATTACCATGCAACTGATAGAAAACAAATGGAGAGAAACAAAATAACATCAAATAAGGTATGAACTGTATTGGTAGTCAAAATTGATTTCCTATCTAGGATCAGAAAGGGAGGGAGGGGAAACACGTACCTAGTGTATAAAATTACATTTAAACATATCTATACATAAAGAATAACATAAATAAATAAAAATTAAAAAAAAGCTTCAAATCACTACTAAAATTTAATTAAACTTAAACTGAACCAACATAAGAAGGTCACATAGACACATCCATAAAACTAAAACACCAAAAGAAAGCAAGCCACAATCATCATAATAATCAATTAATCATCTTCTATAGGATCATCTTCTTCTCCTTCTCCATCAAGCTCATCAAAATTAAGAATCTCCAAATCATTTTGAGGGACACCAACAACACAAGTAGCATGCTCTCCTCCAACTTCAACCAAGTCTTCTTAATTCAGAGTGTCAATTCCAAATCCAAGTTGTCTATATATAAAAAATGCTAGAAGAACATCCCTCATTTTCCACAATCTATTCATCATCAGATGAAAGATCATCAAGGTTATGCTCAACAGTTTTTTTAGCTTGCTTCTTCTTGGCCAATTTTGAATTAATAATCACAAACACAACACCATTCATTGTCTTTTTGTTAAAAAAGTCTTACTCTTTGTGTGTACGTAAACAAATACAAACGCAATTGATATATACCAAGTAGTAGGTAATTTTAAAAATGAAATACAATTCATATTTCATGTTGTAGAAATTTTACCAAGTTAAAGAAACTCTAGTTACGCTCACAACTAGAGGAATTGCAAGCCAAGTTTAATACAATGAATAAACAAAATTTTGGAGCTCTTGTGCTCATCACCATAAGATTCCTACCACTATGGTGGAGTTTTGGTATTAGTTGTAGCCTTGACTACAACACTGCCAAAAAGCTTTGACTCTTGAAATCTTCAAGTTGAGCATCAATCTTAGTTATTTCTTCAACACTTCTCACCAACCTTAGTAAATGTAAAGAACCAATTCAACCCAAAAGCTTAAGCTATTGGATGAGGCTATATTAATGGTTTTATATATCTCTAACACGCCCCCTCACAAAAAAGTCCATTGGGCTTGAAAGGTGGATGATACATCAGGTTCAGCTTACCTGTGCTAAGAAATTTCACAAAGAAAATGGGGGGAGGACAAGGATCGAATCCGGGACACTGAGGCTCTGATACCATGTAAAGAACCAATTCAACCCAAAAGCTTGAGCTAGTGGGTGAGGCTACATTAATGGGTTTTATATATCTCTAACAGTAAATAATCATACAGTCCACCTTTCACTTCAAAATTAGCTTTAAATCCAAGACGATAGTGTAATTGAGAGTTAAGGTAATAGCCTACAACATGCAAAGGTCAATGGAGTTGTTTGTGCCATCTTTCATTAATGATATCCTACAGAGGTATATAGCTAAATAATGGAAAAGAAATGAATTAGTTTTGAAACAAAACTACAAAATTTCAATTTAAACTAAACTTGATAATTTACCCTTTTTGGACAACATTTCCTTCACCAACCCCCTCAACAATGTTATCGATCATCTTAATGATTTTTCCTGCTGTTTTGGATATATGAGAAGTGTCAATAGACTTTAGAAGCACGGTTCCTTTAGGGTTGATTACAAGGAAGTTTATTATAGTCCTCCTCCTTGGTGCATCACGTTTTCTTCCAATTAGCTTTATGTTATTGATAGTCTCCATTGTCAAATTTAATTGTTGTTTCAAATATTTGACTCTTATTTTATGATAGAACGGTGCTTAAATCCAATGCCATGTTGTACAACCAATTCAGACATTTAATGAAATTCATCACTTCTTACCACATTAAATGGTATGGCATTGTTGTAGAAAAAATAAGCAATTTCTTGATATACTTCCTCTCTCAATTTTCTCAAAAATGTTATTGATGGTGGATTGAATGCTTGCTCCCCTTTTCTTGAAAATATTTTGAGAGCTCTCAAGCTTTTCATCCTGTTTCTTTTTTCACTAACTTCTAAATACCCATCATCAATCCTTGATTTTTGATTAATCTATCTTGCAACAAGGATACAATTTCCACATTTCTTTTTTCACTTTAACACCTATAGATTTGCAAGCTCCAACATTCTTTTATGTTCACACCATATGATGCTTCAATTGATACTTACTATGATGTGATAATATTTGCATATAATTTTACTAGCATCTCCATCAATATAAATACCATGCTTCCATACCACACCTCTCCTATCTCCAAGAGCATTCTTATGTTTTAGAACCTTCATTCACAAGGACATTAGAGACAGCACTTGAAATGCCACTTGTACCCTCAGAACCGGCAGCATCCCCTTTTAATCTGTTGTAAATATTTGTTATTTTATTATTAGTAGTATTTGTTGTATTGGGCCAAGCCCATTAGGTCAAGTATTAGGTCAAGTATTAGGGTTTTCATTCTCTATAAATAGAGATCTCTTTGTACAGATTATTTACACAATTATTTATACTTGAGGATCTCAAAATAAAATGTGAGGCACCTATGAAGCTGCTATGTGACAATAAGTCCGCTATTTGTATAGCTCATAATCCGGTTCAACATGATCGGACTAAACATATTGAGGTCGACCGCCATTTCATCAAAAAGAAACTTGATAGCGGGTTGATTACCACTCCATACATTCCCACTGGGCGTCAATTAGATGATCTATTGACAAAAGGACTTCCTTTAGACAGATTTCAAGAACTTACTAGCAAGCTGAGAATGATAAATATCTATTCCTCAGCTTGAGGGGGAGTGTTGTAAATATTTGTTATTTTATTATTATTAGTATTTGTTGTATTGGGCCAAGCCCATTAGGTCAAGTATTAGGGTTTTCATTCTCTATAAATAGAGACCTCTTTGTACAGATTATTTACACAATTAATAATATTTTCTGATTACCCTTTTTCAAGTTAATCTAAATAGCAAACAGCAGCAAAACAACTTCAAAGAGCAGTATCAGCAGATGGTTGCACAATGGAAGCAAGCAAACAGCAGAACGCAGAGGCAGCAAGCAAACAGCAGAACACCTTCAAAGAGCAGATTCAGCACTTTCCCAAGTAGCTGACTCTTTACTATACTCCAGTATACAAATTTTTGTAATAATATGCTATCCCATTTATTATTATTAACTATAAAGGCAACATCATGTTCAACAATTCAATTGAGATCTAATATTACAAGAAGCTGAATAGGGGAAAAGTAAACTAACCCATGCAACATTTGCATTGCTCCCAGCATCTGTTTTGGGGATAGCAGATTCCATGGTCTGGTATAGCTGAGGAAGTGCACCATCCCCAGCCACCTCAAGAACAGTGCAGCTCCCAAGAGTAACACCAGCAGGTAGACCTCTCCTTTCAACATAATTCTTCAGATTGTTAACAATAACCTCAGAAGGGTTTCCGGGAACCCCTTGAAACTTTTTAAATCCAGTTACATGAATAGTAATGGCCTTTGGCCCTTCAGATCTCATCTCCTCGTTCTGAATTCTGATGCAGTTCCCAATTTTCGATGAATCCTATTAATTGGCCTGCTTATGTGCTTGCCCCTGCAAAGATCAAACAATCTGCATCAAACCATAACCCCCCCAAAAGAAACAATTATATTTTGAGTCCAAGAATTCCATTTACATGATTCAGCAATTGTCTACAGTAAACGATGTCTATAATTGATGAATGTAAAAAAAAAAAAAAAAAGGCTGCCATATTTTGCATAAGACCCCTCTCTAGCCTATTTATATTAAGATTAAATCCCATGAGCCATCAAGAAGGCTGCCATTTTGGAATAGACAGAGAAAGGATGATCCTAGCACATCAAGGATCAAGTTGCTTCCTTTCTTCCAGCTTTGTGATAATTCAACAAGATAAGCAAATTTACATATTTGGGGACTTTATAATCATATTATATACATACATGATCTGGGATTTTTAGATTTATCAATTCGCTCATATGCTGATAGTTCTCCTAAACTTAGCTTTATTCAATGAGTGAAGAACACAAGACAAAAGCTCCTCCACTAGCAACAACATATACATAGCTTAATTTTCAAGCCAGTTTCAATGAAAGCATAACCCTCCCATTCCACGAAGGACAAATCCCTAAACAGCTATCCTTTAACTAATTCATATATAAATTAAAAACACAAAAAATACAACATAATTTAGAAAAATTAATTAAAACATAAACAAACACACACAACTATGACATATAATATAAAAGCCTGTTAAGTGGGAAATAAATCAAGTTGAACATCAACTACCCACAACTGTATGAGGTGAAGCAGATATATATAATTGCATTAGCGTCAGAACAAGAAACAAAATGAAAAGAAGAGTGGAGGTTACCTGGGAATTCGCACCTCTGCTATGTATGTGAATCTGACTTGGAACTTTGGTTTAATGACTATATTTTAATATTGGGTAAGAGGGACAAAGAGAGAAGAACCCTTTGACTCTTTTATTGGGCTTATGTTTATATTAATGCCATTGGGTCGTTGAAATATTATGATATTGCCACTGAAGGCATTGTTGTTATCGTGTGTGATTATGATTTCCAAAGTCATAAGATGTTGGCGGGACAATACGTCATTGGTCGGTTTTTGAATTGACACACAAGTAACTGGGCGGGCCGGCCTACAGGGGCCTACGGCTCGGCCTACGTCAGGTCAAACTTGACCTAGTATATTTCGTAAAATAGGCCGGATTTGGATCTTGAAAAAACTTGTTTAATAAAAAGGCCGTAGGTCCACTTTCACAAGGCCTGGCCTATAAGCCTACAGGCCGACCTATATTGTACTATTTATTTTAAATAAAATAGAGTACGTATGCCTTGAAGAAAAAATAACAGATATCAATTTAATCAATTACAATTATTTATAACTTAATTATATTCGATTATATTTTAATAGAAATCTGACTTTATTTCTTATATAGGAGGAACTAACATCTCAACATGTTAGATTGTGTATATGAATATATTAAAAGGTTTTTGGGAGAGGTTATACTTACTACAAGCATCATGATGTGTTTGTTGGATTCATGTAGTTATTTTAATTTACATAGTATGGATTTGTTTGTTGGATCTGATGAAATATATGTTATTTAGTTTGAGCATTTTTGCTTTTAAAAAAGACTTAAATGCAGATTGTATGAGTTTTGTTATGATTCGTGATTCTGTTTGGACGTTGAAATTATGATTTAAAATTTGAGTATTTTGTAAAATTGATTCATGGTTCTGCTTGAAAGTTAAAAATTAACAGGCTAACGGGCAAGGCCAGGCCTTTTGTTTTTTTATAGACAGGCCAAACCAAGCTAACAGTTAGACTCGTACTAGGCTTGGGCCAGGCCAAATTGAAATTTTTTGATGTAGACTTGGGCTTTTCTGGACAAAGCTTGGCCTAGCCCAGCCCACTTTCACCCCTACACACAACTGTCTATGACTGCTTCCATCAAACCACAAACCTCTCTCAAAGTATCGACGGTGCCACAAGTAGGGGTGTAAATGGGCCAGGCTGGCCCAGCCCAGCCTACGGTCCGATCTACATTGAACCCAGTCCAGGCCCGGTCTTTCAGAAAAGTAGAGTAGGCTTAGGCTTATAAAAAAGCTTTTTTAACTTTTACCAAAAAAAAAAAAGCTTTTTTAACAAATAGGCCATAGGCCAATTTTGTCAAGCCCAGCCTACAGCCTTGTAGGCTGGCCTATTTAATTTATTAAAATAAAATAATAAAATAATATTTATTTATGTGGCAAAGACGCAAAGTACAAAATACCAATATCTCTTATTTTTTGTGCTATTTTATTTTATGAAAGAAAAACTTGTCTAATGTTTCCAAATTTTACATGTTGTTGCAGCTTAATACCATGGAGTAATGGGTACCTTGCTGGATTATGATGTTACTGATGAAGATCTTTCAATAATACTCTTCTTTCCCTTGTCTTGATGGTGGTTTAAAGATTTTTAGATAAATGACATTCTCTTGTAGACTTTATTTCAGCGTACGGTAATTATATTTTTCTTATTTTTTCCATTTCTTTGACTCTATTCCTCTATGATATACATTCTAGAGCTGGGGTATTATGTTGACTCTTTCTTGTTTGTCATTTTTTTCTTATGAGAAGTACTAGTGCATGCATGAATGGAACTTTCTTTGCTCTATACAATTATTTTTTTTGCTTAGTATCTACAGTGGGAGGCCTACAAGACCTGTAGGCCATGTAAGACTTTCTTATTTTTAAAAATGGGTCGGGCTTGGCTTACAAATAAAACCTTTAATAGGCCAGTAGGCCAGATAGGCTGAATTTTTTTGACGTAGGCTTGGGCCAAAAAGGCGAAAGTCCAGCCCATCCTAGCCCATTTACACCCCTAGCCACAAGTAACTAGAAAATATTTTTAATACTATTTTGCCCAAATCCTTTGTATTCTTCTATTAACTTTCACATTGTCTTTTTAACCAAAAATAGTTTTCTACTGTATAATATTTAACTGCTTTTCACCGTATTGTTTTATGAGATATGGACTTTATGTATTCTCCATTTTAAATGGTTCGGTTCATTGTCCTCACTGTCAAAGCCACCAAGTGTGCATATTACCGAGATAAAGTTTAAATGCTATTTATGATTATATGGTGAAGTACCCCATAAGCTTGATGAAAACGTATTATATAATCAGAGTAAGCATGCTCTAATATCAATAATTTGAACATCGTTTGTTTGTTTTTTTCTTTTGAATAGAGTTCAAGAAAAAAACTCAATGGCTGAATCAACTTCTACAAAGCATACAAGGATCTCTCACAGTGAAGGAAATGAGTCTCTTAAAACTCTTCCAAACAACATTTTATTGGAGATTTTTGCAAGGGTTGAATCTCAAACCATCAGTGACATCTACAATGTCCAACTAACCTGTAAGGAATTTCGTAAAATTGTACAAGATCTTTCTTTGTATAAACGTGCCATGCAGATGTCCTTTGCTGAAGAAATTTACAACTCCGACGGTTGATGATGTTAGGATGTGAAAAGTCATTGGAATAAATTTGTCTTTTTTTTGTTTATTTATTTTTTGGTTTCTTTTGAGCAATTGTCAACTATGAAGCATCTACACTTCAAGATCTCTGATGTGTCGTGTCCGACACTCACTTTCTGACACTTTAATCACTACAAGAAAAAAGTTTATTTGTGACAAAAATTTTCGTCACAAATTTTGTCACAAATGACAATTTTCGACACAAATAATCAAATTTCGTCACAAATAAATTTGCGACTTAGAAATTTGTGACGAAATTTCATATGTAGTGACGAAATTTGCGACACTAATAAGATTTTTTCTTGTAGTGAATACTCGTTGCAAAAACTCAAAAAATGTTCAAAGGTTATGTTGCATTGCATTTTGAGTTCCAACTATTAGATTCGTTGAATTACAGTTATTACTTTATTGAGTTTAACATAAACATTTGAGATATCTTATATTTCTTTGCAAAATTGATGGATATTATAAGTCTAGCTTTATTTTTTTGTTAAATTATTGAATATTAAATATAATACACACTACATAAAATAAAAGTATTATATAATATCAAACGTGTCCTAACGTGTCAAAATTTAACATTTTTTAGAATTAATGTATCGGAGTATCGTGTCGTGCCGTATCCCATGTCCGACATCGGTGTCAGTGCAACATAGATTGTCAATAAAATGTATTTTTTGTTTTCTTTTTTTGGTTTATAGCTTTGGGAATTTAAAAGTCACACTAACGAACATATTGCTTATAGTAGTGAATGATAATTATATCATTTAGAATAATCCTCTATCTCAGATTCCCTGATTAGGGTTAGTTAGATACATGTTACTGCCTCAGTAGTACAAACTATTAGGTCAAAACTCACTTTCTCATAATACCCACAATGTCAATCTTTGCAGAATTGAATTCTAAACTCACATATGATACTGATATTATTAGAATAACTCTCTAACTCAGATTCACCTGGTTAGGGTTTTTCTACTGTCTATTGCTACATCAGTAGTCAAAATTAACAGGAAGAAATCCACCTATTTAAAATACCAACAATATGGATATCAAAATTCATATAATTTCTTCCTCATCTCATCAATGACCTTTAGGTCCTCATAATAACTCTCTAATTTTGAATTATCCAAATTAGGGTTATTATATATTATCGTCTGTAGGGGAGGAATTACATAACTTATCACTAAAATGACCAATATTCCTTCTTTTACCTGAAGGAGTTTGTGTTTCTAATTGAGTTTTCCTCATAATGGTCTGCAAATGCAACCCTAAAATTTTTGCAAAAGTCCAATGCAGTAGAAGTTGTGTCCTTTCACCTTTAGATTTCATTATACACGAAAAAGGAGAAAAAATGAAAAAAGGTCACTTATAAATGAAGTTGAACACTGGAAGACTAAAAAGACATTTAATTATCATAATTGAAAGAATATGGAAGGTCTTCTACTTTGGAGTATTCAATAATAATAGCACACACATATTTTTTTGAAAGGATTTCTACTTTGGAGTATTCAATAATAATAGTGTAAGAATCTGCACCGTTAATTAAGGAAGTTAATTAATTAATTATGCGAAAATAGGAAATAATTCCATAATTGACCCTAATAATTATTATGAGGCTTAAATAAATATAGAAAGTGGTTAATAATGCTGAAAGTCTCTTTTCGGACGAAAAGTGCAGATACCGGTTCTGCTACTCGATATAAATGCGTACCGAAAAAGTATTTCGGAAAATTATAATAAGTGCATGAATATTACTAGAATAATATATAGGACTTGTAAAACGAGTTTCAAGTTAAAATAATGAGGGATGGTGCCAGAAACTGATACTGGCTATGAAAAGCGCGTACCGGAAAGGTGCTGCGAAAAAAAAAATAAAAATATGATAATTCTTGTAAAATTGATTAGGTTAAGAATCCTGAGTTTGGGATTAATATGTTAAACGTAGCAATTAAAGTTAATACTGTGTGTTTTAGTGTTAAGTGACTATATATATGTTTGTTAGCACAAAACCCTAGGCATTCAGTTATTTCCTACGTGAAAGGGTGGCTGACCAGCTTCTCTAAACCTTGTCCATGGGTTCTCTTCTCCATTTTTGAGACCAAGTTGATATCTTTTCTTGATTTCTTCACACTTCCTCCTTGTAAACACTTGTGTGTTGCCTTGTGAGGGTGAGAGGCAGCCTTTTCTGGATGGCCAGCTTCTGTGTGTGAGTTGTGAAGGCTGACTTCATGGATTGGGTTGGTTGAGAGTTTGTGCCTTGTTCTTGTTGGCTCAAGAAGCCATTTTTGGTGAGGAAAGAACCTTGTTGTGCTCCATTTTTGTGTTTGGACCAAGTCAGAATCTTTAGGAGCTTCAAGTGAGCTCCAAGAGCATTCTCTTGCTGAGTTTGAAGCTTGGATA